TCATACCAGTAGCCTGAAGCAAGCAACTTTCCACCAACAACCACTGGAGGCTTACCCCATATAGGTGTTTTAGGGTTCTTCTTGAAGATATGTTTTTGTTTGTTAGCCCCTCGGAAAACCATGTATCTGCCAAAAAGGAAGTTGTGGGATTCTCAATTTAGCTTCTAAGAATGTAAATAACCCAATGATTCAGAACTTACCCTATTAAGAATACAAAGCAATTGGCTACAATAGCAGGAACTGTTAGTTCTACTTTGTTGTGCAAAAGCCACCAGCCCTGTACCAGAGAGAAGACAATCCAGTCACAGAGGATCAAGCATTCAAGAACACTATTGTTTCCGAGAATAACTTTACGTGCCAAGAAGATACTGTCAATAAGATAAATTAAAGTATGGCCTGTTTATGATCAAGCTCACAGTTACATGCCTGAATGCTAAAAGTGAAAGGAATCCAGAGGAGGTCTCCAAACACCAGCATGAAGCCCAATCTCTCTGCAATTATGTCCCATCTACAAAATGTAGCCAACAGAATATATTTAGAAAGATCAAAGTAAATGTGATAATGGAACTGGTCATGTTTTGGTAAGACAAATATATTTCCGCAAGATGACATGAACTTACGTAGAGGTCATGTATTCTTCATGAACAAAGTAGTCCAATATATATAACTGCAAATATGAAATTAATCAACACTAACAAAACACGGATGATCAGAAAATTTTAAGAAGCATGAGTTCTGAGTAAATCCAAATGTACCGCACAGAAAATCTGGTAAAGAATCATCGACTGACTCAAGGAACCATCCTGCACACTTTTTGCCAGAATAGAGAGATTGATAAGCAGCCATCCCATCATCCCAGCTCTGACAAAGAAAAACCTACACAAGGAATAACTCCCATCATCATAAACATTTGCAACTGTAGATAGAAAGCATGCATAACTGTCGATAGTATTATTAAACCACCATTCGATATGTGTACTACACAAACTGAAGCAGTGATACATCCCGGGCTGAGAAATCGAAGAGAACAAAGAAAGGTGGATTACTTGAGATCAATGCTCAAAAACTGAGGATTCAGCTGTATTCCAAACCACCTATCACATCAAATAAACATAATGAGAAAATATCAAAGCAGCTGTTTGGAAGAAGCAAGCGAAAGATATAAATCCGAACTTTCCGGTTGTAATGGAAAAGTTCAAAAGCTAAATCACTGCTATTTAATAAGAATAAAGAGCAATCTACAGTCTTTCTAGGAGAAACTACTTGACACTCTTTGTGGTTCTATAGAATCATATTTGTCCAAATCATTGTTTCATACACGATAGTGTACTAGATTACGGATTACTCCCAAGTTTTGCTCTGGCAGGTATAAGACAACGGTTTGTGAAACAGAAAGGAGTAGTATGCCATTACCAGTCATGTACAAGATTTCCTGAGACATGAGGCTTTAGAGAAGAACTCTTATCCGATGAACTGCGGCCAGAAACATACAATGCTAATGTCACCTGAGAATATTAAGAGTAATCATGGACATTAAACACTACACCACCAAAAAAGCAAAGTCATAAACTAAGAGACACAAATCTGATCATACAACCTCAAATCAAGACAATCTCAAATCATCTTACCAAGACACAGAAAATAAAAGCAGCTGAGAGTAGCTCAAGTCCTCTATCAGCAACCACCTGCAAAACATCTTCAAGGTATAAATATGAGAAAAGCAACTGCAAACTTAACTCTCTTAAACAAAAAACTATTATCATTCGGATTCATAGTAACAGAACTGCAATCTTAGTAATGGTTCTTGATGATCATAAAATGGTAACTACACTTACAAGAGGTGATACAATCCCGAGTTTTGCACAGATTCCCAAAATAGCGACCAACAATGTCAGTGCAAATAAACCTGAAATTAATTAACAAAATCAATTGAAATTAAAACTTTCGAGCTCGTAGAATCTCAAAGAGACTAAAACCAGATTCAAAAACAACCATTGCATCGGTAACGAAGCTGAGAGCCATCTGATAAAAGAGCGCCGCGAATAACTTTTCCGGGGAGGATTTCTCCGGCAACGGCCAAGTAAACGAAGTAAAACACCAGCACATAAACCTGAATCTCGGAAATTTAGTAGAGAAACCCAGAATCAGAAGCGAGCAAAAAAGGTGGAAAGAACAATTGCGACATTGAAATCAAAAGGTAAAAGAGAGACAGATTGCGATGAAGGAATAAGAGATGGTAGAAGAAGACTGAGATCCATATCAAGCATTAGCACAAGGATTCAATGAAGACGACGAAGCATTCGGAATCGTCGATTGTATCGCCCTTTTTCGCTTTGTTTAATTCAGATTAGAGAAGAAACCAATTTTTCAATTTTTTTTAGTGGGAAGCTCGTGGACTCTGATCAGTTCACTTATTTAATCAGGGAAAACTTGCAGAAAGACCCTTCAACTCTTGATTTCATACGAAGGAAGCCTCGAACTATACATTGTGTCGAACCAAAACCCTGAATTGCTAGACTGGTTAAAAACCCTGCCACGTCAGAAAATATATACAAAAAATTCAGTTTGGTAAATTTGTTTTGTATATCAAGGACTCACATTACGATTTATTACATCAAATTAACAACAAGAAGGTGGTCTGGTGGTGTTTCAATAGTTCTCTATACGAACACAAAATAAATGGTGAATTACACAAATATTCAAGGATGGTTGAAAGCTTGAGGGTTTAGAGAAATCAGAATGTTCTCTCTCTTTCTCGGGCTTAAATATTTTCGATTTTTTTTCAGATTTTTTTTAACTTATTTTGTCACACATAGATTAAATGTTGATAGAAAATTCACATGTTCTTCTGTTCCGACTTAGGACTAATAGCTCGAGTTTGGTTCCCACGCTTGAAATGGGGGTCTAGGCAATGAGAGAGTTCATTTCAAAGATTAGTGTAGTAGGTCAAACTATGTTTATTTGGGAATGAGACTAGAGTAATTAGGTTTAACTATGTTCGAAGCCACACCAATAATCAACATTTGTAGAGATATGTAGATTTCTACTGTCTATACCCATCATCAAGTCGTTTATTTGGTAACCTTTAAAACAATGAGATTGCATTTGACCAATTGTATTGTATGCAAAGACATGCTGACCACAACCAGAAACAACTTAACTTGTATCAATAATTTTTATCTAGTCCACACAAATATATTTTGGCCCACACAAATTTTTTGTGTTTAAAATTTTGCATTTATTTAGACATTAACCGTTTTAATACCAAAAAAAAAAAATTAGCTAGAAAAAGACAAATGTAAAAATTTCATATTATTATTAATAAGAAGATAAAGTAGTTAATGACATATTTACTATGAACGACGAATTTTTTATTTTATGGAAACAAAAAAAATGCCATTTTCGTCTTCGATTCTAATTTATATGGTTGAAACAAAAATTAA